TTGCTCTCGGAGGACATTCTGGTACCATTCTTTATTCATGGCTGTGTTTTTAGGTAAAACTGTGAGAGAGCTGACTCCCTTGGCTGAGAAGCAACCCCACACATGAATTGTTTCAGGATGCTTTACAGTTGGCATGAGACAAGACTGGTGGTAGCGCTCACATCGTCTTCTCTGAACAAGCCGTTTTCCAGATGTCCCAAACAACTGGAAAGGGGATTCATCGGAGAAAAAGAACTTTAGCCCAGTCCTCAGCAGTCCACCCCCTGTACCTTTAGCAGAATATCAGTCTGTCCCTGATGTTTTTCCTGGAGAGAAGTGGCTTCTTTGCTGCCCTCCTTGAGACCAGGCCTTGCTCCAAGAGTCTCCGCCTCACAGTGCGTGCAGATGCACTCACACCTGCCTGCTGCTATTCCTGAGCCAGCTTTGCACTGCTGGTAGCCCGATCCCGCAGTTGAAACCCTTTTAAGAGACGGTCCTGGTGCTTGCTGGTCTTTCTTGGGCGCCCTGGAGCCTTATTGGCAACAATGGCGTTGAAATGTGTTTTGGGGGATAAAGTTCATTTTCTGGGCAAATATTGACTTTGCAATTAATTGCTGTTATGCTGAACACTTTTTTTAACATTCTGGGGTATATACAAATTGCCGTAAAAAACTAAAGCAGTAGACTTTGTAAATATTAACATTTGCATCATTCTCAAAACTTTTGGCCATGACTGTATATATACTTAAACCATGATATGGGCCTTGTTCTTTTCGGAGTTGGAAAGCTAATAAACGGCATGCTCTATTTCCAAATTCATAATATTTTATTTTTGTAAATCATTTCATACATATATTACAACAACTCCTAACAACAAAACATCAAGTGTCTCATATATGAAAAGCTAATGGCTGACACATATGATAACACTCTACATATCAAAGGAGAATGGGAATTGGAGCTCAATGTCACTATAGAGAATGATAAGTGGGAGGATATATGCTCTTAATGTCACAAGGGGATTGGGAGCCAATTGTGGAAGGAATTTGATTGGAAAGTAAAGATGAGGTTTTTTAGGACCCCTTTAAAGTACAAGTGTTGACTGCTCGGAAAATGATAACCATTCACTGGATGCAGCCCGACCTTCCCACAATATCTGATTGTATACAGAAAATTAAACATGCCCAAATGATGGAAAAAATTACTGCTGTTCTGCAGCTGAAATTGCCTTTGTTTATAAAGGAGATAACTCTTGTTACTCTATACATGGATAGAAAGTGAATAGATAAGGGAAAGATGCATATGCCCAAATCTATAGATATTATGTGATCCACGATCAAAGTGTTTTGTTTTTTTGTCAGTCGAGCTGATTGTATGTTTTTTTGTTTTTTTGTTTATGGTTTTGTTATTGTTGTTGTTATTGCATTGTGTGGTTGAGTCTTGACTCCGGTCTTGACTGGCTGGGTCTTAACCATTCTAGGATTTGTAAAACAAAGGCAGGGTTTTAAAATAATAAGTGACTCGAAGCCAGGGTAAAGAATGTACAACAATTATGACTGCATATGTGTGTGTTACTATGTAGTTGTTTATAGCACACTTGCTCTCTGTCAGAGCAGTGTACATCCCTGGTGTCCTGAACAAAGGCCCAAATATAATGTTAAGTGAAAGTCCTCAGAGTGTCTGAAGTCTCCATCCCAACCTCCCTTTGCAGATCAAATTTTGCAGAGCTAATTCATCCTGCGTGCTACTCAGAAGAATGCTCACTGCAATGTTTAGTTCTATTTGAACCCCAGGACCGCTCCGCACTGGGGTGGACATGTTTTCACACTGGTTGTAGTCCATAATATTGCTATAGGCTTTTTCCTCCTGTGCCTCGTATTGCTCGATTTCTGGGTGGAGTAAGAGTTGAACATTTGTCAGTGATAGTAATAGCTCTGGAACACATGGGCACCTGTGGTTTCCATGTCTGGATCAGTTGCTGTCAGACAGTTTCCGCAATGCTCACACGCTTTTTTTCAGGCAGTTTAAGCAATCAATGATATCATATTCTTCAATGTGGTCGACTTTCCAGCCCAAAGTGTATACAATGGAAGTGTACGATAACATCTCAGCTGATGAGGCATCAGGGTGTAGGACTGTTTGGTAGGCGTAGCAGGTCTTTTTGTTTGCTGGTAGAGTTTGATGAGACAGTTTTGCCTCAGCTTCCCCCACCCTCTATACTTTTTTTTACCCCCAACCTGAACCAGTGTTTTAATCCCTTCATTCTTTTATGTTAACCTTTTTACTTTCTACAAAGTGATTACTTGACAGTTAACCTGCCTCTTCACCATAGTGTCCAAGACATATGGCTGCAAGTCCAATACAGTGTGATACAGAGTTGTGTGGTTGGTTGTTAAATAAGAACAATCCCTTTCGTCAACTGGGGCAAATCCCAATCTACAGGCACCAAGTCAGGACGCAATAAGTATGGCCACACCCGCTTGATGCAACTCTAGAGTGGAAGAGGGTCCAGCCCTTCTCGAAGAAACTTGGTCTGGAACCCAGGCTGTGCCTTACGGTGAGTCCGACTATACCTATATGAAACTCCTCAACCTCAACTAGCTCAGGTTCCTTCCCCAGGTGACGTTCCATGTCCATAGGTAGAGCTTCTGAGGCTGAGGATCAGTTCCCTGTCTTCGGCTGCTGTCCAATTCACAATGCAATCCAATCCTTATGGTCCAATACTTTACTTCTCTTGCTATATCAAGTCAGTAAACTTGCATTAACTTTTACTCCTAGTCAGTAAAAATATAGGACACTGTTGAAACATTTGAACATACAACTTAGTATTTTAGCAACTGTCTGACAAGTAATCAGCCCACCGAAAAGTATACAGAGACAACTTTTATTTGCTGCAAAAGCTAAAAAGCACAAACCAGACATGTGAACAAAAATATATAAATGAAGACTTGAGAATAGGAGCCCTTCATTTTCAAATCTATGACATATCATATAATATCCCCTAAACATGATATGATGGCTGGTGAAAAACATAATCTCAGTGGTACCTTGTTTAAATTTCTATCATTTAATTTAGAGAAGAGAAAAAGGTATGGATATGGAGAATTTCACCTTAACTTAGCCTATGGGAAGTTTTTGTAGTTAGTGTCATTAAATTAACGTAATAATAATAATAATAATAATAATAATAATAATAATAATAATAATATTCATCATGATCTAAGTCTATTTTAATTAAATTATGGATCACAATGTTTTAGTTGATGTTCAATATATTCTAGAACAACAACATGAGAAATCACTAGTTCATCATTCCTAAAAGAGGATTTTTTACTTTCACCATGATTATTTTAGTTAAAAAGTGTAAACCTCAGAGAATATGATAACTTAATAACTCAATAGTTTGTAAATTAAATAAAGTGCCTTCAAAAGCGTTTTAGAGTTGTTAAGATAATCTCTTAAAGAAGTTTTGAATATTAGTAAAGAAGAAGGGATCTCATAATTAGAAGATCATCACATTTCTAATTATAAAATTAATACATCATTATGAAACAGGATATTTATCTTTATCTTGCACACAATAATTTTATTTTCCTGAGATGAGATCAGAATTAAATTGACCATGTAACCGATTTTGTTTTCAAAGAAAAAATAAGAATTTCAAATATAGAGCAAGCGTGATTACCTTGTTAGATCGAGACAAAACCTGAGCAAAGACCAAAAACAAAGCACTAAAAGCAGCATTGAGAAAGAGAGACAATTTGGCAATGATCGTCATAAGCAGCAACACATACCTTAATCCAAGGTGTTTCAGTAAAATACATTTAGCAGCCTATCCCACCTGATATCGGGCACAGGTTTGGTGTAACTGGTCAGTCCAACATAGCGCCACACATACACAAATAACCACACAAACTCACATTTGCCTAGGGGCAATTAAAAGTCTTCAGTTAACCTACAATGTTATTTGTTTTGGGTAATGAGAATAAGGCAGAGTACCCACAATGAACCCATGAAGCCCCAGGGAGAATATGTAAATTCCACATGAAGGTGACAGTGAAAACCATTACGTAATTGTGCTGTCCAATAAAACCCATTTTACCTGAATAATTACTTGTCAATATCTTTTCTTTGATTGATTTTCTTAAACTTGTTTAGTTTTATGTATAGTCATATTTGTTTCAGTTTAGAATCTTTTTCCATGCATAGCTGGGTTTTGAATACGGAGGGTTAAGGGTGACGAAATAAATAAATATGTAGCCTATGATTAATTAAATGCATCGTAAAATGAATTAAAAAATCATAGAATAATTCAATTTAGCACCAATCATCAATCAATAAATACATTAATAAATATGCAAATGCATCATGAAATATGCAAATAATTAACTAAATGTCCCATGAAATTATTAGATCTACCGTTTTGAATAATGAATTTAGATAAGAAAACTTTTATTTACAAATATATTCAACTATTAGACTATTTTACTTTATTTTTATTCCATGCTTCCTTTGTGAGTGCTGTTGACTTGAAATTATTTAAACTGTCAAAAACTGGAATGAAACACAGGTCAGTTTGTCACCTTTAACCCTGCATTGATCATTTACACATATTTTGCATTTATATAATTTTATCAATTGTCAAGCAATTTTAAATATATTCTCTGGAATGTAATTTTGTCACACACGACTATAAATAACCAAGATATACATGTCAGTAAGGATAAAATAAATAAATACATAGTCACCAATTAATCATAAACATATTTCTTTGGACTGTGGGACAACTTATTGGCAAAATGCAGATGGTAAGGAGATAGTAAGGAGAAACTAACTAAAAAAATAAATAAATTCTGATTACCAGAAAGTAAAGTAGACTAGGCTACTCAAAATTTGTGAATAGACTATTTTAATGAAAAAGAGGCAGAGTGAATCATAACTAATTAACATTTCTCCTTTAGTAGGAACTGGCATACCAACATTCTTTTTATTTTTTTCCCTTTGTTATCCAAACACTGGCCTCAGAGTTCACTAACCCTCTCACTGAGGGTCTCCAGCTCCTCCTTCTCCTGATAAAGCTCCAGCCCATAATCTTCATTACTGCACGGGGCATTGAGAAGATTCATGGGGAAGTCTAGGCCGCTGTGCTTGGCATGATGAAGCCAGCGCAGGTCGTCACTCTCGTGGGTGATGTAGCGCTCATTTGTTCGAGTCTCCAAGCCCCTTAGGTCGAGCCACATCTGGTAGTCCTATAGAATAAAAAAAAAGATGTGTCTTGTTAAATTGAATGACAGGAATAATATAAAATTGCGTTACTACATCAACAGCCTAATATGAATGTGTTAACAGAAAATAAATAAATGTTTTTAAAAGAGCTATTTTTTGGTGGTTTTCATTGACCAGGAGACTAATTTCAAAAGCAAAAACAATGTGAATAATGATATCTTACATTATATTTATTATTCAGGATTTTCTGCAATTCTTTGGGACTGTAACACTCTGATCAGCCACTGTAAATAAACCTGTTGGTGTAGTATTTCACAATCCAGCTCTGGAGCCAGAAAAGCCTTGACAAAAGTAATTGAACCTTTGGGGTACCCTGTATTGTCTGAAATTAGAAGGTTCACAGCAAAATGGACCCTCTCAACATTGACTTTTTAATTTGCAAAGACTTCAAGAGATTGAGATCTGGGAAGTTTGGGACCCTGAGGTTCTTAATCATAAACCATTCCCAAGCAGCTTTTTATGGAAAATGAATATGAAAAATTAAATTAAACATAAATGTTGTAATCATTGCCACTAAGAATCCGCTTCAATTAGCTATTATTTGTGTGGATAAGCCATAGGTGAATATTATATTTAAAGAAACAGTATAAAAACCTGGTATCATCTATTTCACCCAAATCCTTGATATACATTTTTGTCCTGGTGAAAATACTAATTTTACCAAGGACCTTTTAACTGTTCCTTGAACGTCCTAGAGTTAAAACAAACTGTGCAAGTGTTTTTTTTTCCTTTAACAGCATCATCATTATGCTAAATGTGATCACTTATATGATATATCAAGCATATATAAGCCATCATTTGTCTTAATCCTGAGTCGCTCTCTTCTATGCACCTGAAAAAGACAAATCTGACCGATAAGTACTCAGTTTAATCAGCATGTTAGGGCCACTGGGTAGCCTGCTTTAACTTTGACTGCCTCCCACCTTTCTCTTCCTCAGGGTGTGTTCGGACAGTGCAAACCTCAATGTTGCTTTTTAATAGATTATTAAATGTTTATACCTGAACAAAATGTGGTACATTTGAAGTGGACCATAATTACATTTCCCAAGTGAAATTCCTATTAAATACATTTAAGGTTACCAAATATATCAGACTGACTGACCCAAGTATTAGCACATTATGGGAAAACATGAATCCATTCAATTATAGATTACTAAAGCTCTGAAAAGGTATTAAATCAAAGAACAATTGTGGTTTTATTCAATAATGATATGCAATAATGCTTGCTGAGATGGACTACACAAATTGGTAAATTCTCAACATTATTTTTGAAGCAGTTAGTACTTGAATTATTGATTTCTTACCTGTAACCAGGGATGACTGAGGGTCTTGTCCACACTGTACCTCTTTCTCATCTTTACTTGGAGGAGGTTATTAATCAGGTCAATTGCTGCAAGGAAAAAAGGTAGGTGATTTTCAACAAAGAAATGTATCCAATCTTTCATCTAATCTTATGTAAATTTCCCTGTAAGCTACCAAAGAGTCCTTGATAAGGAACAACAACATATCTACTGGTCCCATCAATTCAATAAGTTTGTCCTAGCTTCTGTGCTAAGAAAGTTACCACACCTTTAGAAATCTATTATTTATTGTTTCCAATCAGTCACTAATCTTCTGTTTGAAAGATCGCAAGCACCATTATATGTGCCTCTGAATTTACTTCTCAATTCACAAGGCATCAAAATGTTTAAGTTTTATTGTTTGTGCAATGTGTTTTATTTACTGATGTCACATTTAGAAAATATATACAAATTAATCAAATATATTTTATCAATATATAACAAATATACATTTATTCATATTAATTAATACATAATCACATATATTGTATGCATAGCATCATTTTAACATAAATTGCATGGGAGCAGACTGTGTGAGAAGACATAGGGTGTTCTGTCACTTCCGGTTGTCTTTGTCATACAGAATAATATGTAAACGCAATTAAATATTCTCAGGTATTTGACTGCATTAATATACAATTGTATAACATTGTCAAAATGTTTACAAAGAGATGCATATAAACTTAGTTTTTCTTTACAGAATTTCAAAAGGCTCATTTATCTTTGAATTTCGCTCAGCTGCATTGCATTTATATCTATATCTTTCTACGGAAGGAGAATGATGTGCTGGAGTTTGACAGATAAAGCAAGACAAAGTTTATCTCAACACTGAGAAGACGTTCTGAAATGAATGTCCTGGAGAGATTTTGGGCTTTGAGCCACTCTGAAGCTGTCATGGATAAGAAGCAGTGGGCAAACACCATACACAATTGAGCAGGTTATTGATTTTTGTCATGAAATTATCAGACTTGAAATCCCATATCTTGGATACACAGATAAAAGGATTAGCTGTGCTGTCAACTGACCACCATCTGGTAGTGAGTTGGATTGGGTGACAGGGAAGATCCTGGGAAGGTTCAGTGCATCCAAGCGTTAATTGTGGGTGTGTTTTGAACATTCAAGACAGACTACGGACGAGAAGATCTACCACTTCTGACCCCTTTTTCCCTGTCATAACTAAGTAAGGAGGATATAATCACACTAAAATTATCCTTTTAAGCAAGGTAAAGAGAGACTGATCAAGTTCCATAATTCCTGTGGGTCAATGCCACAATGCCTTGTATACCCCAAACACTAATCAGTATATCATGCGATACCTCTATCAATCAGGACACTGTCAATTGATGAACAAAAGACTGCTAAAAAAGTCAACCCACTCAAACAAAACAGATCAAAACAAAAAGATAGGATGCCATGTTTAGAAGCGTATATCAAATTTCCATAAAATTTCAACTCTACATCAGAAAGGTAAATACATGAGTCGATACCATCCAACATTTGGACCTTGATGAAGTCTGACCCAAATATTTGATAAGTCACTAAGTTCACCACCGACTCTGCACATGTGTTTAAGTGCAACCAAAAGTGTTATGTGCGACAAGTTTGTGAAGTGTGTCAATGGTCATGTTAAAAGAGTTATAATGGCCTACAACTCAAGAAAAGTCCTTTACAAGTCTGAAAGAAACATTTGCGGAAGACAGCATTAATATCAAAATTGCCAATTATAACATTGGGATATTATTATAGTTATTATAAGTCCTTTTAACCAAACTCCACTATCTGTTAACTCCTTCCAGTACTGTGCCTCAAATGAGACAGAAAAAGAGTTATATAACTATGAAGTCAGTAAAAAAAGGAAGGTTTGGTCCACCTAAAATCCAAATAATGTTTTCCAGGATAACTGTGTATCTGTGCCTTGATCTAATGACATAAATAACAGTACAATAGAAGGGCTTAGACACACACAAAGTACATGTCGTTTTTATTGAAAGGTTCTCTTCATCAGCAATCTATCTCAGTACCTGCAGGACATTGAAATAGGTTTTTGACTTACTTTTAAGCATTATACTGTAAAAAAGTAAGTTATTTGGATGTAAAAACATTCTTTAAATCGCTGTACGTTATTTTGCAGGTTAGACTAGGTGGCTATACCGTTATGCACAGGTAGCCTACAGGCTACATGGCTTGAGAGGAATCCCATTAGCACATGGTATAACTCATTCGAAAGGTTTTAATCAACTCTAAAAGATGGAAATTACCAATGTAAACTCTTCATCATAGTGTAGCATAAGACCCAGTAGAACAAAAGCACCACAGATTTGTGTTTCCAGCTCAGGGTAAAGGTAAGATAGTCTCTCCTCTTCAAAACATGACTGTTAGTCATGGAACAAGCTTCTAAAATTTCACTCCATTGAAAACATGTTATAGCCCATGCTGCTTTTTTATGCTAGAACACAACAAAGCACCACCAGAATCAAGCCACACATTAAAAGTCACAGTTTTGATCAAACCAGTTTCAAATTGAGCTGTTGTCATTTTAGCTCCATTTATACCAGGTTAACACAGTCAGTCCCTTTAACACCAAATACTTGTTCAAGTCTATTGAGAAGCATCAGTGGCTAAATATTTAAACATCTGAAAAACCCAGAAGAGGTGTAAGCTATTGAACAAATGAAATCAAAGTAAATTAAAGTGATAACAACTGTTATGAAAATTCATCAATAGCGTCATTCCTCAGGGATTCTAGTTCTTACATTTGATAGGATCAAATGGTCTATTACAGAGTGGCTCTTGGAGATCAAGTTGTAAGGCGGTTCTGTTTAATAGGCAGGACAAATTCAATTTAAAAATGACAACTACCTTATTTGAAAGAGACTTACTGAAGTGATTTCTATGTGTAATAAAATATAGATGAAAATTATTTGGTTAAATGACTGAAGCTATGTATCCTGACATTTATACCCTTACTGATGTGTGTCCATTCTTCTTGTGAGAATCATTCATGATTTAAAACGTTTTTTTCCTGTCATCAGATAAACTATATAGTAGAATTTTACATACAGTCACACAATGTACCGAATTGTCGTGTTCCGTAATATGTTGTGTCTGTAGATGTGAGGATTACTTTGCATTGTGGCTGGTTTTGTCAGCCATTATTCAAAATCCAATGACCTGACTGATTGAACTATATTTATCAATAAATCACAAACTATAAAATGCTTATCTTTTTAGAGTTACAGTAACAAAGAGAGCTTACAAAGACATCCCCCATCCCCGTGGCCCTGACATTGCCAACCCAAAGGGAGAGGTTTTAACAGAGTAATCATCCTCTGCATCAGTTACCATTAACTTTTGTAATCTGCACATGTTAATTAAGTCAACAAAAATATAGATAAATTGAACTAAACCCTTGATATAATACATTTTAATTCCATTGAAAAGAGATATTTAAGATACGGTAATTATTTCATCCCATGATGGAAATTTTACAGAATTTCTAAATAACTAATTATGACCTACTGTAGTTACTATTGGATCAATACCAGAATATGCACCTCTGGCTGAGTTAGCTCAACACAATTCTGCTTTTGGACATTTGTACAAATAGGCTAAAGAAAGGAAAATTAGGAAAATACCTTTCTAAAAAGACAGAAAAACATACTGAACCCCATCTTGTCTCTTAATTCCTCAAGGCTTAGATACGGTAAGAAAGGTATTCTTTGGTCCATACTTCTATCCCTGTTCTATTTCTTGCAAAGTGTTTCTCTCTCAGCCAGTTGATGTCTGCTAAGTAAGATACTCAACCCCACCTCGTCTCTAATTCTTCAAGAGCAATATGTATTAACATACAGTACCAATCAAATGATTGACACACACACCCATTCAACATTTATGGAAACATGCGTTCAAACTTTTGACTAATTCTGTTTCTTCAATTACATCTGAATTGTGATATCAACATTTTCAAATCATCCCAGAATCATTAACCTCGCAGTTAAGTTTTTCCATATTACTGATTAATGACTCTGAAAGCTTTTCATTACAAAAGTCTACATTGCTTGCAAAGTGTTTATTACGGTACGCATACTAACTGACACTTCGTGGTTGGTCCGAAGCATGTCCAGTATCACCTCATATGTATAACCTGAGTCAAAATACTCTCGAATAGCAGAAGTAAAGTTTGGATCACGGAAAACATTCATCTTTTTAAAAAACACGTTAAAGCCAGAATAACTTCCGATTCAAAAGTAAAACGAGCTGTATTCCAATCAGCGACTTCTTAGGTCACCCACTGGGACATACCATTTCCGTTGTGTTTTCGTTAATGTTGTTGTGTTTTTGTTAATGTTGTTGTGTTTTTGAATTTGTATTTGTGCTTCGTTAATGTTGTTGTGTTTTTGAATTTGTATTTGTGCTTTGTTAATGTTGTAGTGTTTTCGTTAATGTCGTAGTGTTTTGCACCTCAGGGCCACCATAGTTTATGATGTTCAGTCAGGTAAAGTGTGCAATTGTGCTAGAGTAAAATACTGAAGCCCCATCTTGCCTCTGATTCTCAAGTGAAGTTTGAATGTATTGTGATAGAGAATTTTAGTTTTAATTTATTGAGACTTTTTCTGCATACTTTCCCATTAAGTAATGTTTTGACAATTATCTTACATGGATAAAAGAAAAATGTGAAAACACAGAAAGTTTTATTATTCTACTTTATTAATTGTAATTTGAATTATCTATTACCTGGATAAAAAGTTTACCCTTCTCATATTGACCTGGGCTCTGTCTCTTCCAGATGGATTTGGTAATTTGACACAAATGTTAGTCTAAGCTTGATGTTATTTCTGTAATTAATAAATCATACATCAGTTTATAATGGATAGTTACATTCTAATAACAAATTGAGCAATTGACAGATGTTGTGGCTTAGGTTGTGCTTGGTTTCACATCAGGTAATATATCCCTTTTGAGAGAGCAAATTTGTGTAAGGCTCAGGTCTTTTCTCTACAAGCTGTCTTGAAGAACATACCTTCCAGTGAAACCTTTTTCCAGGGGTGAGCAGGATACATGAAGGCTGCATTCTGGATCTGATCGTTGATGTCTTCATCTTCATTGAAAGGGAAAGTCCCACTGAGACTGCAAATACATTTACATTTAATTTCAATTCAATGTTATTTATATAATGCCACATCATCTCAACAGTTATCTCACAGCCCTGTTCATAAAGAGCCGGTCTAGACCGTACTCCGAAGTTATCTAGAGAAGCCCAACAATTCCCACCAAGAGCAAGCACTAGGCGACACAGGCATGGAAAAACTTCCTTTTAAGAGGCAGAAACCTTGAGGGAAACCATGGCTCAGGGTGGGTGGCCATCTGCCTACAGAACATATCAAACTGTTGATTGTACCTTTGTCATGGTAGATTTAATCATTAATTTAGTAAAAATTGATTAGAGATAATTTATTTTCAGCAACAAAAATCATACTGAAGAAACAGTTTTATAACAGTTACAAATGTTAAAAAATAAAGGAGGTCAAAGCACAAAAAAACAATTACCGTTAAAGTTCCTACCTGACGTAAATAATAACTCCAACCGACCACATGTCCAGAGAGCGGTTATAACCTTTGTTTCTTAGGACCTCTGGCGCAAGATATGCTGGTGTGCCAACCACAGATCGCCTGAATGACTTTTCACCAATAATTCGAGCAAATCCAAAATCACAAAGCTTCACCTATAACAGGAGAATATATGGATTTTAGAAAAATCTATAACTACTTTCATAACTTTTATAACACAATTGTAATTTTGCATCTGAAATGGCTTCAGCACTACAGTGACTAAAAAGCCTGTTTGTTTATTTGTTGTTTTAAAAAGAATACTCCTCCCGGATCCTTGTTTAAAAAGGTGTAATATTGCATCTTCCATGACCAGGAAATGTTTTTAACTTCTTTGTTCAGATCAATAATAAATAAAGTATGATTTGTCTAACATACTGCCTCAACCCCATAGGCTTCTTTCCATGCAGAGGAGCAGCACTGCTTTTTAAAAAAATCCATCCCAGATTACATAAATCATATCTCTATTTATTATGGAATATCTAGCCACCCATCTAATTCTTTTTGTCATTACTCGTTGGCTAACTGGGAAATTGACAGCTTTATGAATAATTTCCCCATGTATAAATATAACTAATTCTCCATCACTGTTAGTGTCAATCTCCCTCCCCATTCTACTTCAACCTGTGAAAAAGGCGCAGAGACACTCGAGTTATCCAGCCTGCTTCACCGCACAATGTATTGACCTATAGAATATAGAATATGTATAGAATCTGACCTATTACTAGCAATACAAACCAAGCTTTCATTCCAGTCGTACATCAAATGGCCTGTAAAAAGAGGCCCAACAGCTCAAACTCCTGGATCAACTCCCTTGGGTCTCCATGAGGGGCATGGTCATATGAGGTCGTCTAAGGTAGCATGCAGACAGTTGGAAACAGCAGGTGACTGACACAGGTTCGTGGATACAGAATCGTCATTAAGTGTTTCCAGATTTAATTTACAATCCAGAAAAAGTGTAACCAGGTCAGCCCAGAATTGTTTGGGGATGACTAATGTTTGTTTAATTTCATCTTATATTATGCTTTCAACTGCGTTTCGACCAGTAAGTCTTAGTGGTCCAAAGTTTGTGGGTTGTCTTGTTACTAAATGTTTGATTTGATTTTTGTTACTAACTTTGGTTTGTTTGGGTTGTTTCTTTCACCCACTTTTGAGTTACATTCATGCCTCGCCCTTCTCTGAGTTTAGGTGGGGGCGTGTCCCAGCCTGGAGACAGCAGACCCCAGGTGAAACCTGCAAGTCAATCCGAAGCAAAAAAGTGGGAACCACTTGATACCCACCAACGTCTAAAACCTTTGTTTGAACAGTGTTTTTTTTGGACAGGTGCTTTCATTCTTTTTGGATATCATATTGAACGGTTTTGAAGGCTCTGGATGCCATTGCTCCTGTCAAGGTTAGAATGGTTGAAAGTTGGAAAAAAGGCACCAAGAAGAACAGTAGACTCTGTGTGGGAACAAAAAAGAGAGTGCTGGAGATCTGAACGGAAAGCTCCGGGTTGATTTTGACATCTATAAAGAAAGACTATGTGTGTTTAACCATATTTGGTGTGGAGCAAGACAGTTATTTTACTGAAATCATCAAAAAAGCGGAAACGACTCTCGTGAACATTAACAAACCCTCCAGTCTCAGGATTTTGTTTCTAAATCTAAATGTCATTGCAATGTTCTTTAATCACAACGTTCAAGGCATTAACAATGTCATCGCTGCCAGAATTAGAGGAATCGTGTCTAAACCAGATCTAGAAAGACTAATCCATGCATATGTCTCCAGCAGTTTAGATTACCGTTACATCGTGCTCACTGGGCTTTCTAAACGAGCTGGAAGAGAGCTACAGAACATCCAGAATGTTGCTTGTAGAGTTTGACCTTAACCAGGTAATATCTCCCCACAATCTGATGGCATTGGAGAGTATCTTCTATACCAGAAAACCTTGGTTTCTGAATATACCTACACCAGCCTACTGATTAAGTCAAGCCACTCTACAAAAGGCTGGTTGGAAAAACTGTCCAAAATTGAGTTTGCTCAGTAACTGTTATCCCCATCTTAGCTGAAACGCAGAATTACATCTCATTGAAAATTCTGTGTATGGATTATGGATGTCCTACCCTCCCTTCCTTCAGCTACTCCATTTTCCTTGTACAGTGCAAACAAGCATGTTAGGTAAAGTAGTCTAATCTAATTTAATCAAATCAAAATGTAACTGTGTATGCATCAGTAGTACACAAATAATACCTGTGGATAAGAGTCTGCAGATGCCAGTAGGACATTTTCAGGTTTCAGATCACAGTGTACAATGTTCTTGAAGTGAAGATGACGTAAAGCCACCAGGATCTGAAAGTGAAGCAGAAATGTACAAATGTTAGACCGAAGTAATACATTGAGAAAAATATGTCGTCTATACAGAAAAGGCATTTAAAGAATGATACTTAGGACAGATAAGCATGTAGTTTGAAGTGAGGTAAAAAATTAAGTTCTAGTTTTTTTATTACACAATTTAACCTATCCCATACATGTATAAAGTTTAGCATTGGGCAGTTTTGACTACAAATGTCATAAAACTGTAGATTTCTCAAACAGCTACAAAATGCAATCTTTTTGTTTCATTCTTTCTAGCTTTACATTGTTGTAGCATCTCAATCAAGTAAGTCTGTAAACGTTATCTATATTACAACTATTGCAAAATAATTTACAATCAAATGGTTTAGTAGATTCATTAAGCCATAGTATGCATGCATTTTCTTTATACACACACACACACACACTATAAATATATATATATATATATATATATATAGGTAAAAGCCAGTAAATTTGAATATTTTGAAAAACTGTTTGCATTCAAAAGGTGTAACTTGTACATTATATGTATTAATTGCACACAGACTGATGCATTCAAATGTTTATTTTATTTAATTTTGATGATTTGAAGTGGCAACAAATGAAAATCCAAAATTCCGTGTGTCACAAAATTAGAATATTACTTAAGGCTAATACAAAAAAGGGATTTTTTAGAAATGTTGGCCAACTGAAAAGTATGAAAATGAAAAATATGAGCATGTACAATACTCAATACTTGGTTGGAGCTCCTTTTGCCTCAATTACTGCATTAATGCAGCGTGGCATGGAGTCGATCAGTTTCTGGCACTGCTCAGGTGTTATGAGAGCCCAGGTTGCTCTGATAGTGGCCTTCAACTCTTCTGCGTTTTTGGGTCTGGCATTCTGCATCTTCAATACCCCACAGATTTTATATGGGGCTAAGGTCAGGGGAGTTGGCTGGCCAATTTAGAACAGAAATACCATGGTCCGTAAACCAGGCACGGGTAGATTTTGTGTGCAGGCGCCCAGTCCTGTTGGAACCTGAAATCTCCATCTCCATAGAGCAGGTCAGCAGCAGGAAGCATGAAGTGCTCTAAAACTTGCTGGTAGACGGCTGCGTAGACCCTGGATCTCAGGAAACAGAGTGGACCGACACCAGCAGATGACATGGCACCCCAAACCATCACTGATGGTGGAAACTTTACACTAGACTTCAGGCAACGTGGATCCTGTGCCTCTCCTGTCTTCCTCCAGACTCTGGGACCTCGATTTCCAAAGGAAATGCCAAATTTGCTTTCGTCAGAAAACATGACTTTGGACCACTCAGCAGCAGTCCAGCT